ACTTGGTTCATATCATCTCAATTGATTTCGAACATTTTTTTATACAGCAACAATATAATAGTAGCGAAATCGATAACACCATCGGCTTGTTATTAACATCATTTCCACAACTGGAGGACGAGGTTATGTTGACGCACAAAGATATAAAGGTGAGAAAGAGAAGGAACTACTAGGTTGTGTGCAATGAAAGACCTCCCTACACTATGGTTATTCTTTTGATGGTTAGACTTATATAACAGAATTAGGTCTTGCTTCGCTTTTCCCTAAATCTGCACGAAGGTTGGTCGTATCGAAGCTCGGAACTGGAACTGTGGACGTACAAGGTCTTACTAATTTTGATTAATGTCTCAGAGATTTAGATTTTTATTGTGTGCTTTCATCGAGAGATTGAATGTTAATTTCGTTTTTTGATTCATAGCGCATTTTATTGAAATGACGCTTATCAATCAGCTCGTGGCCATTTCTTTGCAACTCCAACATGACATAAGACTCAAAAATCACTCGTATATGGCGCATCAAATAGCGCTACTATATGTACGTAAGATTCTTTCTTCGATTTTTATCAATTATCTAAATGTGTTGTTTATAGTGATGACACGTGTTTACATCTTACTAAATTCAGCAATGCCTAAATCAAGTCGGACATCATTTTCTCAAGTATAAACCACGCGTCGAATTACATTTTGATGCGATCAAATCTTTGACAAGCAATTCAGAAGAGCCACAAATGAATGAAACACAAAAAGAATGGTATGTAGAAAGAGAATCAATGAAATAAATTCAGTAATTGAAATTAATTATGTGATTCCCCTCCCCAAAAGGTTATCTCAATTAACAGCTGATATTGTCACCGAGGCACTATTCAGTGGTCGGCCTTTTTCTAACGTATCAGAACCTCTAGCCAATTACATGACAATAGTTGGAAAAGTAGAGACACCACTTTATGCAGAGTAGCGTAATCATAAAAAGACACACAAAGCAAAACACTAGATTAACATAATTGGTATTTTATTTGTTTTTGCTGTTGTTCTCAATGCTTGAATTTTTCCGCGGTCATAAAGTAGTTCACACTAAATCTAAGATGGTTCTTTTCGTCAAATTCTACCCATTCTTTTGTCGCAAGATTATACCAAACACCCGTTATATCTGTGACTCGTAAGACATCTTTTTTAGGATCATTACCCTTAAACGAAATACCCGTGACTCGTAAGCCATCATCATCATCATGCATATAACTATTATAGTCACTCTCAATCGTATCTTGCAATTCTTCTGGCATTATATACTTTAAGTAATCGTGGGTCTTTTCCGGAACTATTCTCAAGAAATTCTCCGCTATCAAAATCGTGAGTAAATATGATATTGGCGTTCGCGAGATCGTGGATACAATCAATTGTCCACCGTCAGGCTAAAGTCACCAAAAAATAATCAAATATATTTTATTTTTATTGTTCTTTTTATGATAACTGTTCGACAAATATACGCACATTGTAAATTCATTATCATTCAATCAATTTATTACCTTTACTAATCCTGCGCATGCTTTGATAAATTCTTTCGAATCATCGACATGCTCTATAATTTCCATCGCACATACTAAATCGAATCTTGATTCATTCTCTTCCTTTAAGAGTTGTTCGACTGTTGTGCAGCGATAATCTAAACTACCAGGCCCAATAAAAAGTGCGGGATCTTTTTTTGCATGTAGTTTTGCAACTTCTATACCTTGACTAGATGCATCTGCCCCAATCACGGTAGCACCTAATCGAGCCAATGGCTTTTTATAGATTTATTCATTAAATCATGTGATCGTCATTGTATTGCTTTTTTTGGATATATATCTCACCTCTGACAGAATTCCACCTCCACAACCAATATCTAAAATTTTGAATCCTCTCAACGGATAAATATGCGAATTTTCATCCTGATTAGGCTTTTGTGTCTTTAGTAATTGATTTTTAATATATGGTATACGAAAGCCATTCATTCGGTGCAAAAGCTTAAGCGATCCATTAGATGACCACCATTCATTGGACAAATTATTGAACTTTTCAAGTTCAGTCGCATTAACCGTGCTCGAAAAATTTTTATGTTGGCGCTCTGAACTATCTTGTATATTCTCTTGCCAAAGCAAGGTTGTACTTTATCATATAGATAATATTTGCTAAGTAATAAATATCATGAAGCAGTGACGAAGTATAAAATCGTAATGCTTTGCTTACCTATGAATTGAACGATTATTTGGTATAAAAAGTATGCGAGAGTAACTAGGCAGACTGCAATTTATCCAAACTGAAAGACGTCGTTTGGTAAAGCTAAAAAGAAGCATATTTAACACGACGCGATTATTTGAACTGGGAATTTTACAACAGATGTTGATCTACGACTTGTAAACTTCGGCCGGCATTAAGAGAAAGATCATCTTAATCAGACAATGAATCAAAATTTTTATCTGATGCTGGTCGATAATTTTACATTTTCTTGTGATCTAATTACTACAAGTATATTTTAAAAGAAAATTTGTATAAAAAATGATTAAAGTTGATATATAACTTTGAAATAATAATTGGTTACTAATTGTGGTAAAATAAAACAAGTAATTATATAATAAAGAAATTTATAATTAAAAACAAAATATGGACCAG